ACTTGTTGGTAGCGGTGAAGGTTACGCACGTGCTTTTGTCGTTCCTACGTTTTTTCTGTTAGTTTTAGTGTTTTTATCCATAGTGAACTGAATTGAAAACCTTTTAGTTCTGTGTTGTTGTGTTTTTAACTGTGTGTGTAATCTTTAATAAGGTATTGGTTGTCGTAAGTGAAGGTAACCACTTGTTCCCTCGTTAAGCTCCGAAATGGACGAGGAGAAACCACCTGACCCTCCTGATAAATCCCCCCAATATGAAACCGAATCAATCCTCACGATCATCCTTCCTCCCAACACCCCGGAATCTGAAACAATGGAGTTAGAAACCGCGAACAGCAGGAAACGACATGCCGGCTCCCCTCCTATCTCCCAGAATAATCCCCCAAAATTGGCTAAAAGTACTCACGGTAGACAGTGCTACACGGCCAGGGATAACCCCCCATATATGGTTTATGTATCCCTTAAGGATTCCCAGACGTCTGGAACCACGCTACACCCTGTTAAGTTTGGGATGTTTTTAATGAAACACAACATTAACAATGTCAAAATTGGTGGTGTCAAACGGCTGGGTAGGAATAGAGTATCGGTCGAGTTTGTGTCTCACCAGGATGCAAACAGTTTCTTAGTGAACGGTATGGTGGCTCAAAATTACGTGACCTCGATCCCACAATTTAATATTACTCGAATGGGCATTGTAAGGGACGTCCCTGTCGAGTGGACAGAGGACGAAATAATTGGTAATATCAGGGTTCCCGCCGGGTGTGGGGCTGTGATAAAAGCTAGGAGGATGAATCGAAGAGTTACATCTACAAATGGTACTGAATGGAAGCCTACGCAAACTGTAGTGCTAACTTTCGATGGTCAAACCCTACCCAAAAAGGTCTTCTGTTTTTATTCAGCACTGCCGGTGGAATTGTACTCATACCCTACCATACAGTGTTATAACTGTTGTCGTTTTGGGCACACCCGCACCCTTTGCCGCTCCAAGCCGCGTTGTTTCAGATGTGGCCAGGATCATCCAGGCGATGGATGTCAGATTTCAGCCGAGATTGCCCATTGTATCAACTGCAATGGCAATCACTTTGCTAACGACAAAGCTTGTCCTGAGTTGGGTCGCCAGAAGAGCATCAAAGCATTGATGGCGGAAAAATCAATCTCATATACGGAAGCAAGCCAAGTTTTCCCAACCGTTAAAAGGTCTTATGCTGAGGTCTCAAGATCAGCCAACCTTATAGATTCATCTCCCAACAAAACTCCATCCCAACAAAGAGTGTCCTACAAAAAAACAGTCCAACTCAAACCTAAATCACATGCGCCCCTCTCTCCTAGCTATGATAAGAAGGCCCATCGGGCCCTTATCCAAGACCACTCTTTCTCCCCATCTAAAAATGGTTGCGCTTTCCCTGTGGAATCCGGAACCAATACTCGTAGCTCCAAGTACATCCTAAATATAGTCTCTGATATGCTTATGGCAGTACTAGCAAACCCTGCCCAAAATATACCTGACCACGTCGCACACAAACTTTCTACAATTCTAGATTATATCTGTAACATTCCATCCTCTAACACTGCTTCAGTGGAACGTGAGGAGTACTCTTCCCAGGAAGAGTGACTTACTCCACTTGATAAATAAATTTAAACCATCGATTTGTGGCATTGCTGAGACATGGCTTCAACCGAATATTAATTTCGGGATCCCGTGTTTCAGTGTTGTCAGACATGACAGATCTGATGGTTATGGAGGGTGTGCTTTGTTAATTAATAACAAAGTGCCCTTCACCCAGATCCCTCTACCCTTCGTTGGCGATGACATAAATGTTGTCGCTGTTAAGGCTGAGGACATAAATGTTTTTGTATTTTATATTGCTCACCCTCATGTTGATCACATTATGTTAATTAAAAGTTTACTAACCTTGGTAAGTGGCCCATTGCTTATAATGGGTGACTTCAACTGCCACCACTATAGATGGGGTTCAGATGTATGCGATAATGTAGGTATTGAATTAGTAGAGATGCTGGACGAACTCGAATTGTGTGTCATCAATGATGGCAGCCCTACTCGTAGGTCTGCATTTGGTCAAAGAAACAGCTGTGTGGACTTGACCTTCTGCTCGCCTGCTATGGCTGGCGTGCTTAATTGGAGTTGTTTGAATTTGACCTATGGTAGTGATCACTATCCTATCATAATTAAACACCTGTCAAAATCTATTCCAGATAAACCCCTTCCCCCCCTATTAAAATATCGTTTGAATGCAGCTGATTGGGATCTTTATTCAAAATTATTAGACCACCGTATCTCCTTCCTTTCACCAATTAATCCTGAGAATGCTTTGGAGTGTTTTTCAAAATTTTCGGACCTGATAGCCTCCACTGCTGAAGATTGCTTTCCGGTGAAAAACGCACCGAAAGGCAAAATCCCTTCTCCGCCATGGTGGGATAGTGAATGCACTGCCATGATAAGGGCTAGGAATGAGGCTGAAAAGACATATAACCAAGATATGAACCTGGAAAACCTCATAAATTTCAAACGAATTTTGGCTAAGTCAAGGAAATTGTTCAAAAAAAAGAAGAGACAAGGGTGGCAAAGATTTTGTGGTTCTCTGAGCCCATCCACTCCAGTATCTACAGTTTGGCAGAGAGTGAAAAATTTCAGGAACTCCACCAAACCTCCCACTATCTCGATTTTACCCGAATCTCTAAGTAACAGATTTTTAAATAGTATTGCTCCAGTATATGTTCCCAGTGCAGACGAGTGCTGCCAGAGACCCTATGACGAAACACATGAACCGCTCGATTTGGAGTTCTCTTATGAAGAGCTCCAAACGGTACTCAACCATGTCAAGGACTCGGCACCAGGGATTGATGGGTTCCCTTACTCCTTCCTATCTAAGGCTGGAACTAAAACAAAACAATACTACCTTGACTTGGTCAATTTTTGCTTTACTTCAGGCTATATTCCTCCTACTTGGAAGGTTCAGGTTATCATGCCGCTGTTGAAAGCTGGCAAGGATCCTGGTGATCATAAATCCTACCGACCTATCGCTCTATCGTCCGTACTTATTAAAACTTTTGAACACCTCATTAAAAACCGCCTTGAATGGTTGGTTGAAAGCCGGAGGCAGCTTCCGGCGACTCAGTTTGGCTTCAGGAAAGGTCTGGGTACGGCTGACAGTGTGGGTGTCCTCACGTCAGCCATCCGACTGGCCCTTAGCAGGCAGGAGTCGCTGGTCGCGGTCTTCCTGGACATCTCAGCGGCCTATGATTCTGTCCTCTTACCCCTTCTCAGGCAGAAACTGCAAGAGCTGAGAATCCCGAGTGGGATTTGCCGAATTATAGGCTGTATCCTCTCCAATCGTACCCTCCAATTGAGAACTCCTGAGGATAACCCAGTACAGAGGTCCTCCTGGAAAGGTTTACCTCAGGGGTCAGTCCTTAGTCCTATCCTTTATAACATATATACCTATGACCTCCCCTCCTGTTTAAATTTTAACTGTAATGTCCTTCAGTACGCTGACGATATCGCATTAATGGTCACCAGCAATTCTATAACAGAGGCCGCTCACTCCATCAATGTCTCTTTGTCCTCATTAAACCAATGGCTTCTCAATCACGGGTTATCTTTAAGTGCCCCAAAAAGCTCGGCTGTCATTTTTACACGCAAACGACGCACTCCGGATCTTCGTATAGAGATGGACGGTCAGACTATCCCGATTAAAAGCAGCGCTAGATTTTTGGGAGTCCATCTCGACTCAAAGATGTCTGGGGTGGACCACATAAACACCGTAGTTGGTAGGTGTGAACGCTCAGTATCGATACTCAGAGCTCTGGCTGGGGTATGGTGGGGTGCTCACCCCTCTTCATTGAAGCTCATATACAATGCATTGGTCAGAAGTGTAATGGACTATTGTTGCTTCCTTATTGTACCTTGCAATAAGGAAGCATTAAAAAAACTAGACTCCATTCAGACCAAATGCCTTAGAATAATTATTGGAGCTATGAAATCATCCCCCATAAACGCTCTTCAGGTTGAATGTGCGGAGCCTCCTCTCAACCTGCGAAGACAATACCTTGCAGACCGCTTCATCTCAAAAGTCCTCTCCCTCTCATCACATCCCCTTCTCCCTATCCTAGATCAAATCCACTGTTCCTACAGCTCCTCTTCTTACTGGAAAAATAAACCTGTCCCTCCCGTGATTGCTAGGTACAGGGAGCTTAAAAACCTCTCTGCACCCATAAGTCAATATCCTGTGCTCCCAGTGTTTTCTTCCGTATATGAGGTTATCCACTTTAGACCAAAGCTGATTTTAGGACTTGGCATTTCGAAATCCACCGTGAATGCTGCAGACGAGTTCAAACGTGCCTTGGACAAATACTGGAGAGGCTGGAATACCTTCTACACAGACGCGTCTAAATTATCCCGAATCGGATGTACAGGAGTGGCAGCGTACTTCCAAAATTCGAGGATCGCTCTCCTCTCCAAGTGTCCCCCGGAGGCATCAGTCTTCACGGGTGAATGTGCGGCCATTTTGGAATCACTCAAATTTATTAGAGCTCACAACCTCAAAAATTCCGTAATTTTTTCTGATTCCCGAAGTAGCCTACAGTCCCTCAACCAAGATCAGCTCCATTCCAGAACCCATAGCAGTTTGGTTGTTGAGATAAAGGCGCTTCTTCTTTCCTGCTTCAATGATGGCCTAAACATCGAGATCGCTTGGATTCCTGGCCACTCTGGCATATGCGGTAACGAGTGTGCGGATTCCCTAGCCAAATTTGCGGCGTCGAACGATGTCGAACGTCAACACTACGTGGTGTACGGGTATGATGTACGTGCCGACACCAAACACAAGCTTTTTGAGTCATGGGCTGCAGTGTGGGTAGACACTTCCAAAAGTAAAGGAGCCTACTATGCAAGTGTCCAGCCCGGCATCCGGCGGAGGCCTTGGTTTTCCAAGTACCCTAAGCTCCCCCGCCACACTGTTTCATCCTTGTGCAGACTCAGACTCGGCCATTGTAGTAGCCCAGTCTTCCTCAACAAGATCCGTGTCCGCGACAGCTCGCTGTGTGAATGCGGCCTTGACGAGGGAACTGTAGACCATATATTTTTTTCGTGTCCTTTAAATTCCCAATCTTTTGACCTTTATAAAAAACTCCCCAGTATTCAAATCCCACTTCCAATTAATTTCCACCTCCTTTTAACTCACTTTTCCCCTAAATTAATCCATTGTTTATGTAGATTCATTAATGATAATGAGATTAAACTATGACGGTGACATTTATGTAAATAGTGTATATATCTGTGTGTCTGTATTGTGTACGTCCCCCCAACTATTTTCTTCACCCCTGTACTCATACAGTAAAATAGTTGGTAATGTTTATATGTTTACTAACCCAATTGTTTTGTCCTTTCAGCTACTAACTACTAAAAACTACCGCAAAGTTAACTTCGACGGCTCATTAATCTGCCGTCACCACCCGACACTGGCAGTATAGTCGACAACACCTTATTGGAGACTCGGTTGCCAAGGAAAAAGAAAAAAAAAAAAAAAGTTTTTATATTCAAATGATTTATTACATTAAGTAGGTACCTATATTCAATCTTACAAATTATCAAGTCTTTAAAATTACGTGCAAATAGACAAAATCTTTCTTATCTAAAATAGGATAAATCATACAGGTAACACAATCGGTTCATCGATAAAGATACGTAAACTCTTTAACATTATTACAATAAAAAATTTAACAACAGGCGGCAAAAATGATTATTTTTAATAGTAATAAAGGTAACCTATAAATTAGATAAAATTTTAATATAAATAACTGAACACATTGAATCTAACAACGTTTGACTATAAATATTACAAAGAAAAATAAACTAGGAAGTTGGCCCAACAGTGGGATACCATTGTTGTGCGTTAAGAGATCCTGTGCAATTCGACTAAATCTTTTTACACTTATTCGATGTTAAAATTTAATACTTTCGATACTTTTTACATTTTACATTTAAAGACCCGTGAGCGAACTTGTCGATGAATTTTTACATATCTAAAAATATTTATTTAGAATCTTGTACTACAATCTGTCACGTTAACTAACAAATGACAAAATATCGAAACAATATTAAGAGGCCAAATGCATTGACAAAATGACAATCATTTTCCTAAACATTTAATTACACAATATTAATAAAATAACAGGTAGCAGTAGCTAGTACTTATTTAAAAAGTTATCGTCAAATCTATTTTCTAGTGGGGCACCACTAGAGCTAGTGTTGTACTGTTGCGTTGTGGCGACAAGAATGAAAAGAATATTTTTACAAAAACAATTGAAAATATATTTATGTTAAAGATTTTCTTTTATCTTCAGGTAAGTATCAAATTATCAATTGTTTTCTTGTTAATGTTAATTGAAATTATATTATTTGAATTTACTTCCTTACACTCTCTACTAGCACTGCTACGTTAATTTGCTAAATTGTGACGTCACTACAAATACTCGACTATATCGCATTTTATCGATATATTCGGACAGCTAACTCCGTAACTCAGATTGAGTCCGTGTGGTTGGCTCTTGTGCCTCTCAGTGAGTAGTTTGTGGAAGATTGGCAAGATGGCGCACTCAAAAAGTTCTGATTCGGAACTTGCCGTGTACATTTTACGCTGGTCTACTGATTCTTGGCGCTTGGAGTCACTCCTGTAGCCAGTAGATTTTCGGTCTTCTCTCTTACTTGGAGAATCTGGACAGAAGAAAACAGATTTATTAAAAAACAGTTAAAATTCACAGGCACTTTCTTGTAGGTACTCGAGAACTACATCTACAACAGAATTGATTTTTTTAAAGCTTTTCTATAAAATATGATATATCACTCACCCGTTTTGTGCCTGGACGCAACATTGGGACTACTTTTATGATGATCAGGTCTCGGCGTGTGACTGGCCTGCGTCAGTCTTGGAGAATCTCCCACACCCTTCGCCCTCTTTAAAGGCTCAGCTTCTTGTCTCAACCTCTTTGCAGGAGAATCCTGATTTTTCACCATTCTAATGGTGTCAGGATCAGGTTTCCAGGTCTCTGTCTCCAGAACAGGTTCTGGCACAGACTTTCTAGGTATATCGTCATGTCTTCTGGGTGTAGACTCTGTTTTCGACTTTCGTTCTTCTTCCCTCGACATTCTCTCTTCTTGGTATGATCTAACCTGGAAACAGTAGAATATTCAATTCTGCAAGTATCGATGACGCCATAGCCTGTATCTTATTAAAAAATGGGATAGTACAGTTACTTACATGAGCTGCAGACTGTCTTCTCTTGGCTGGAGCCTGCTGTGGAGGAGTGCTAACTGGTTGTGGGAACTCTGAGCCTCGTCGCTATAAAAGGCAAGTACAATGATAAGAACATAATGCTCTTGAAGCATATCGGAGTCAATCAATGATTGTTATTATTACCTTTGATAACCTATCTGTCATTCTAAGGGTTTCCGCTTCTCGATACCCTTCAGGAGTACCACCTCTCGTACCAGTCCCAGTGCCTGCTGAAAATGAATTTAATTAGCAAAGACTTTGGTTGTTATTTCAATGGTAACTACAGGCAAAGTTGGTACAAAGTTTACCATAATTTATGGAAGCATTTGAAGCTCTCCTTTCCATACTTCTTGTGTCAGTTTCCCTGGAAAGGTGTTAAGGCGATTTATGAACAAAATCAAGGTTAAAATCAAAAGCGAAAGTTATGGTAAAGAAAAGTAAGCCTTAAGAGATGGTAGTTGAAGTACCTGTGATGATGAGGTGAAGACTGTGATTGTCTACTCTTTTCTGACACACTTCTCTGCATTGGAGAGTGATGGTGACTTACTGCAGAAATGTAAAAGGCAAATTAATTTGGAAAATAAGTTTTTCGAGGGAAAGGAACTGCTATAACCAAAATAAGCTTTAAAAAATTATATGCTTGGTAAAATTTTTAGGTAAACCAGTACAGACAGGTAGTTGAGGATAGAATTAGAAGAGGATTTCATTGGATTGATTTGTTTGGACTTCTAAGACTGTACAAAAAAGTTTCAAAGTATATCGTTTCCCTGTAAATAAACATTGGCTTACTTCCAAATATCTACCTCTACTGTACTTCTAGTCTACTACTCAATAGGAGCAAAGTCATCACCTGTGGCACTCTCACCTGCTGGTGGAGACTTCTGGCAGGTATACTGGAACGTGTTCGTGTCCCATAAGTCACTCTGTACCACTATGAACTCCTTCTTTCTTTTTTCTGAGTCTCTTCTCTGACCTGAAAAAATGGTTGGTTAGATGCAAACGTCTTTTGCTAATAAACATTTATTTTCGTAGTAGAATTTAACGTTTTAGATGTACACACGAGAAGGCCATTCGTAAGGGATCAAGAACTCCTTTTGTGCTTTGTTCAAGCTAAAGAAAAATTTTATTTAATAATATGACATATGTAATAGCGAGTGCACTTACAAGATTTTCTTCTCTCTGTCGAAGAGTAATCATGATCTACATCCAGAATATCTTCTGGTTCCACCTTAGGCTTTATGACAGGCACTGGATCTCTTTCTTGACCTGAAAACAAACACCAGAAATTAAAACTTAGGTGCCTATTCCTATTATACTTCATTCTACTATGTATAACTGTGTGAATTTTCTCATCCATACCTATGACCTTTCTCTCCATTCCTGGAGGTGGTTCTATGTCATCCTGGTCAACAGACACATGCATCAGATCAGTCAGTAGCGCTGCCTGACTGACACTGGACATCCGTCTGTGCCCTCGAGGTGGAGGCTTGTGATCCCTCGATGGTGTGGTCTTTGTTGATAGAGAGTCTTGTGTCTTGACTATCTTCTTTTGAAGTTCAGGAGTCTGTGGAGTAAATGGAATGTATGAGTTGAAGTAACGCTACACTCCATTGGTTGAGTGTTGAGGTATCAGTGAGGAAACGTCTGTGAGGGTTGCGTGATTATCAATGATCAGTGCGTGTGTTACCTTGTTTACTTTAGGTGTGGCGGCCTTAGTGTACATAGGTTCCTGCACTTTGGCTGGTATGGACTTGACTGTTGGAGTGTCACTGGTCTTCAGAGCCGGTATTGTCTTCGCCTCCGCTCTCGCTGGTTCGGGGGCCTTCATGGATTTCGGTGGCTCTGATGGTTCCTGTGTATTTTAAATAAGTTGTCCAGTCATTAGAGCTACTCAATGGATTATGTAGTGATCAACGGTTTTTTGAAGATAGTTTAGCCTTTAACTCGTCGAGTACCGGTTTTGTAGACACAATTATAGAACAATAGGTTGCGGTCACCGGTGACCGCTTGGTGTTTGTTAGTTTAATACAGTACAAGAATACTAATTGTTTGTATAAAAAAGAAATTGAGACTCACATCAGATTTCCTTGATATATTTTCGCATACCTAACATTAGTACATTAAAAACTAATTCATAGAACACTTACCTCTGCACTCCACCCGCCATACGGGAGCTTTGCAAGCTGGTCCTTTTCGGGAACAGCTTTGGAAGAAGGTGGGCTGGTGTAGTCCAAGTGGTTCTTGAAGGAGACGTTCTTCGTCTGCTCCTTCTTGGGTTCCTTTGGTGGTGGATCTTTGAGAGGCTCTGGAGGTGCTGAAGGCTTTGTCCTGTGACGAGGAAACGAGCATTTAAGTGGATCATCAAGAGTGGAGACATATTTGTTTGGTCTTGTCTTTTGAGTCATATTTTAGGTGGATAGGTTTTAAGAATATACATAATATGAAAAGTATAATCTAATTTAACTATATAACTTCTTACTTAATTCTCTATGTTAGTAGTACTCAATGCGAGTTTATTTCTTATACATTCGATTTCATTCAGTAATGGATCCTTATAATCCTCATAATCCTATGATCCTAATATTATAAATCGGAAAGTAAGTTTGTTTGTTTGTTCCGCTTTCACGCCGTAACTACTTAACCGATTGCTTTGAATTTTTGCCGATGTAAAGTTGGAAGTTCGGATTAAATAATAGGGTACTTTTTATCCCGGAAACATTTGATATTCCCAAGGGAAAACAAAAGTATTGATATAGATGGCGCTGTGTATATTGGTATATGTCGCATTAGCTACTTTTTATCCTTTTCTGACGCAAGCGAAGCCGCAGGTAAAAGCTAGTAGTAAATAATTCGTTTATTTTGTATGGGAGTGATAAACAATGAATGAAAAAATAGTGATGAAATAATGAACATGATGCATTAATTAGAATTATTTCATGAGAAAACGTAGTTACTTCTCAATGTTCTGCTGGTTCTGCAGGTTGATGTACTCTGCCTCAGCACCTGCTGACGCGCTCAGGCTGCACACTGATGTTATGTCACTGGTTTCTGGAAACGTTAGTCGCTTATTAGCAAGAAATATCATCCTGTTGGCTGTTTACTAAGCTACTTGATTGCTAGAACAGGCAAAGCTTTTAGGATTTATGAGATTCCTTCGAATTTTAAAGCATTGAGTCGAGAATAATATTTAGTGTTTGACATAATACATAACATAACTAGGTAAGTAAAATCAAATTTAGAATTCTCGAAGTCATATTATACCTCTAATTATCGTATTTTATCAACAGTACTCCTAGACGATGAAAATCAACTAAATGAACGTCACTAGTTTTATCTGCATTATCGACAACACTAGCTATCATGTTGACGATTTTATCTGTCAAATGTGACAGATTAGTAAGTAAAGTTTCCCGCGCAAAGTTGTAACGTCCATTCGGGTTGGAACTTGGAAGTTTGGAAGTTTGAAGTTTTGAACAAGCATTGTGCTGTTTCTTGTGAAGCTGGTTTAGAATACACTTTTTTCAGTAGGTATTGAAGTATTGAGTTTTACTTAAAAGTATCTACCAAATAAGTTTTTGGAATGTTTGTTACCATTACCACTTACCAGGATGACTGATGTTCTCCTTCGGCACTGGGAGCCTGGTCCTCGAAGGAGCTGGTGATCGAGAGTCCCGCGTGGTGGAAGACTCCGAACTGGCATCGCTTCCAAGTTTACTCAGTAGCATCTGGGAAGCAAATAAACAGATTTGTAGAGCAACCGTATATTTCTAATCGTTTAAGCAAATTCTGCGAAAATATATTTGGGAGTATACCTAATCTTAAGAAGAATGGAAATAGAAGTGGAAGTTGAGCCATAGAAATCACGATGGTGATGTATTAGTTGCTTATTAACAGTGATTTGTTAAAAATTATTGATGTTTCCTTCATGATAAGTCATAAACCTATTTAGGTAAGTATACTACAATTTTATGAATGAATCGGTTCCAAAATATCTAGCGTGACTAATTTCGTAACAAACTTCAAACGCGTGTCCGAAATAATCATTGTTTGATGTTTATTCGCTTGGCAGCTAATACAAATTAAAATTATTCAACGGAAATAGTTTAGTCACAACTTGTGGAACTACGAATCTTTTTTTTATATTAGCAGTGGATTTAAGAATAGAAGAATCTCCTGACCTAGCCACAGTAAGATAGGTATCTAAATTAAGTAAGCAAGTATCTAGGTAGGTACTTTGCTTAAGTATTTTATTTCATTATATTTTTGTCTATTGTTCAAGAGATGGCCCGTTGTAACAGCCTACCAATTATAACTATTTAAAAACTTGACGTTTGACTGTCCATTGGAGTTACGAATCGACAAGAAAAACACACTACAGGACTAGGATTAGTAGGAATATTCCTAGTCGAGTTCCTGGTCAAGTAATTACGTGAGTAAGCCGAAAACATAATAATTTAATTAGGAATATTCCTACTTGTATAATCCACATCTTGTTCCTTAACCACTAAACTACTGAACGCATAATGTCTATTTCTTACCTGCAGCTCGTTCTCCTTTGCCTGCAGCGTGCGACGGTAACGATTGTTATACTGTCGCAGCTCCTTCATACGACGCTCAAGCTCCGGTCCCGGCGACCGACACTCGTGCGTAGAGGCAGGTCGAAGTGTGGCCCGGATACGGCCTGTGCCAGCACCACCCGGCCCGTTACGGCGTAGTTCAAGTAACTGAGAAAGAGAAAATGTGATTATTGATACTCGAATAATGAAAACGATTAGAATCTACCAATCGTCTTTCTGAAAATATTATGTATTTCAATATCGTCAGCTTATTTCCGTGTGTTACTGGGCATTATAGGTACCTATTAATACAAGAAACGCAAATTACCTTTGGTACAAACACCAGACACAGAGTGCCTGTTGTGCAGAAAATGATGAAGATTGCGATGAGGACGAACAATGCGTCTTTGTGATCTTGTAAAACCTGCGGACAAACCAAATAAAATCAATAACAACTGAACTCTACTTAATTTTCAAGGAAAGATAACATTACTGAACGGGAAGTGTATCTTACGAGTGTGATGGCTGCTCCCATGATGCACATGATGAGCACGTTGTATACTGATAGGCCGATATGCTGAGAGTCATTCAAGGCTGGGATAGATACGTGACGTGTCTCCCAGGCGAGAAAAGCGCCGAAGACCTGGTGATAAACATTCATTATTTATTTTACATTGTCAAATAAGTTAGGGTGGTCCTAAAATAGAGCCTTGTGGCACACCTAGCTATAGTTATATTTTTAATGATATACTGTGTTTGAAGTTTTAGAAGTCGTGATATTGTAGCGTATAATTTAAACATGTGTCTACTTACTAATAATAGTCCTTTATAAGCGTAAATTATGCCAATGAAAATCGTCATTCTTTCTGACTGACAGTACTCGTTCTCCTGGACTATGACGATATCTTCACTCGAAGGATGTGGCTAAAAATATAAAACAAAATCGTGGTGAATGAGTGTCATTGGTTCTGAACTTCTTTATCAATTTTATAAACAGTACAAAGGTTCTTACATAAGGATCCATCTGCTTCGTAGCCCTGTAAAAAGGGTCTGAGACTTGCCAGGTGGTCATAATGGCCAGGTCAATTGCAAGAAGCACTCCCACCACCATAAAGAGCTGGTAGTCTTTAATGACCTGTGGAATAATAAATGATAATGATAACAATATCCTTGACTTGACACTATCTAAATTAATATAGACCAAGATGAATTAACTAACCTTCTTATTCAGCTTGACATCAGTAAAGATGGAATGGACTCGCCAAGTCTTGGAAAACATGGCTCCAAAAGCCAGACTGAATCCCGCCATCAGAAGCCAAGCTCTAGCGGTACAGATGTAAGGAAATGCCGCTGTGGAGTCAAAGATCATAATGAAACAGTAATAATTCATAAGTACAAAACAATTAAAGTGTATAATACAGTAGGTACATTTACAAGACTCGGCAAAAAGGAAAATAATGTGAAGAACAACTAAAGTATTGCAGTTGCTGAGCCTCGTCACATTCATAAATTAAAATATCACCACATAACATTACATTCTATATTATTTATAATTTATTTCAACACATTTAAACATTATTTTAATTATTTTATTTGCAGAACTGAAAAAAATGCATGCAACTTTGCGCGAAATAAATTAAACAAAATAAGTGTACTTAATGTCAAACTGGTTGATATAAGATGGAAAGTAACAGATGATGCAGGTGATTAGAAATTGAAATTTCAGATTTGAAGAATACTTCATCCAACAATTCTCCACGGGACAGTGTGAGAAGATATAAGTACGGTAACCATTAGGACATTAGAAAAACAGACCACAGATGACAGTGAAATAAACATTCTCAAAACCATTCCAGAAGGAAAATAAATGAAAAATCTTTCACCGTCCACCTCTGGTCCATCAATACAAAGCATAACAAGAATAAAAAGCTGTAAGAGAATACAGAGACATACGAACCAACCCACAAAAGCATCGCGGATGAAGGAGCAAACAAACCAAAACTTGGAAACATGCGCGACTCCTCGGACCTAGAAAACTGCCTAGGTCTTTCTCAGAATTAAAATTATATCAAGGATGGGTTAGTTCCCAAAATTTGGTTGAGGATCCACATAGCCCAGGATTCAAGCTCAAGCTTTAGGGGTGGGATCAAGCTTTTACCTCCGTGCGGCGTGTCCTGAGAAAGACCTAAGAACCAATGGCAATGATGAGATCAGATGACATAGTAGCGTGGTCGATGATAGTGCTAGCGTCATGCGAGTCGAATGTGCCTGTTTAAGTATTTTAGTTTAGTTTTGGTATTTAAATTTTGTTGTTAGAATGGAGGTGGGAGCTAAGCAAAGTTCGTTATGTTCCAAAATACTATTGGACATAAACTATAGTCGAGTAGATGATAAACTAAGATCTACGGTCCCGTTAATTGATATTGAGGTTGATATTAGAATCGAATTAACTTACATGGATATCGTATAAACCAATGCCTATGAGTGTTCCTGAATAAAACAATAATTTAGTGACTTTAAAATGTCCTAAAATAATGTTCCTGTATAATTATTAGCAGTGTTAATATTCAATCACTTGCTTAGCACCAGCACTCCTCAGAATCCAAAATGATGAGCATGATGTTACCTCCAGCTCCAAGTTAGAAAGAACACAAAGATGTTAATAAGGCAAGTCAGCACAAAGTTGGAGATGTCCTGGGATACTTACCGATGCTGCTGAGGCTGGAGTCGAGGCCGAGGAAGATGACACTCAGGTAGGTCAGCATACATCCTACGATGATCAAGTTGTTCAGGTGAGGAGATGACATTTTAATGTATCTGGGGAAAGTTTTAAAATCTATTAAGTTAAATCACGTTATCAATTGAAACCAGACAACGCCAAATGTAATAAAAAAGCCCGGGCTTTTTACCTTTGATTCCTGTAGTGTATGTTCATGGCGAGGAACCCGGTGGCGAGCAGGATACCAAGCACAGAGCAAGACACCAGGATGGAGTAGATGGTGATGTTCACTTGCGTGTGCTCGATCAACCTCAGAGTGCGGTCCTTGGGTGGGTTTCTGCAAAAGATAAAGTTCAAGAATAATAAGTAATTTTACTTCTAAACAGTAGCATTATAGTCCTTTCTTAAATATATGACAATAGAATCTAAAAGATTCTAGCAAAAAGTACAAGTGATACCATGTTATCGAAATTTTCTTAAATTAGAACAGACAAAGTATATTCTTACTTGCCAAACCACTTGAATGGCTCTCCACTGATTAGATCAAGGTGATCTCTCTCCGCGCAATACTCCCCAACCTTCACTTCTCCCGTCCCTTCTCCCTGGAACTGCTTCAACAGGATCGAGGCCTTACGCTCGTTGTCATAGAAACGAACTGGGCCCTAAAATTACAAAAGATAAAGTAGAATGTTAGAAAAATTACAAAAGAATAAA